ACATATAAAATTTAGTGTGTCAACTCATTTGATTTATAAGTAACTGCAATGGAAACCCCTGTTAAAGGACATGTCCTGTGACTGATAGGTGCGTTTTAGTAAAATCCTTATTTATTATGTTTTTGATTTTATCTTTTAAGCCACGTCGGACTTTATATTTACTGCGGATTAGCCTGACAGTATAAGGGATAAGAATTCTAAATCCGGTTTAGATTGGAGACAGCCGATTTCCGAATCCAATCCGGGGTACGACTAGAGATGTACCTCGAAAAAGATGATGACATCATCGCGCAAATTGCGTCATATGATTTCATACCTCACGCGAAAATAAACTTTTAGTTAAGAAATCTTAGCGGCTAGTGAATAAAAAAGATTAGAGCTATCACAAAATCTATGATTCACTGATCTCAAATTTTGGTCTTGGATAAGATTATCTTACGCTTTACGCGAAGTCATATGGTTTGTGGAATGTATGCTAAGTTTTACCTCGCGTAAGGTACGTACGTACGTACGTACGTATTCTAAAAAGATTAGTTCTTATCACATGGATCGTGCGGATATTGAATACATACCTATTACTGCATTACTTATGTCATATGATTTAAGTCTTCCTGCTAGCAAATAAAATTGGTTAGTTAAATTACTAAGTGCCGTTTTGGGGAATCAAAGAATACGTATTAGGGTTGTTAATGGAGCAATATACTCCCAGCCCAAGTTGGAGTGGGTTTAAAAATATGTCTATAAACTTGGAGAAACCCGGAGTAGAATCCAAAGAAAGTCTAATTTAATGGCGTGGTTTGAAAACTGGATCAAACAAACCCAACCTAGTCCAACCCCTTAACAACCCTAATATTAATAGACAGAACTTATAGCTTCGAATGAAATTTTGTACCGGTACGTACTGATCACTTATTAAAACTTCGTTTATCCAAGTTTTGTATTGTATAAGATAAAAAAAAGGTACGTACGTATGTACGTATTCGGATTAGATATTAATAAAAATCGGTGTACCCGACCAATCAAAATTTTGGGGCTGGGTTTACATAGATATTCGCTTCGTGTGTTGCAGTGTAACTTAAAAGGAAAGTTTTTTTTAAATTCGGAATATTATTGCATAATTGATGTACAATACGTACGTACAGACAGATTTATTAGGTACGTACTGTGCACCCATAGTATTGATCTGGTCACTCATAACACTACGTAGCCGGGAAAATTTGTAATATTACACTTTTTACGTATGAGAAATCATGTATTTATAATCTATGACGCTACATTTTCTTTTTTTGGTATTTGCTATTACAAATGTGACAAATCAGTATTTTAGTAAGCGGGTGCACCCTTCAACATGGTATATAGGCTAAGAAAAATATAAAAGGAGAATGCCAACTTGATAACCACTCATTAAGACATTTTTAAATTAACAAAATTAACAGTAAAATATACATATATCGGTTTTGACAATGTCAAGAATTTTGGCAAAAAACATTGCTAAATCATTATATGCAAATGTAAATATATATTATATATTTAAAAATAAAATTTTTTTTTTTCTAAAAAAAATTTTTTTTTCTAAAAAAATTTTTTTTTTCTAAAAAATAAAATTTTTTTTTCTAAAAAATATTTCTAAAAAATAATTTTTTTTTTTTTTTTTTGATTTAGAGTCAACCAGAGGGTGTCGGGGCTACTGTACGAAGATGCATAAGCGGACGTAATACAATTGATCCATTCTTAATGTGTGATATTTTTGAAGTTTCTCCACCTGCTGGATTTCCTGATCACCCTCATAGAGGATTTGAGACCGTCACATATATGCTAGAAGGTACCAGCGCGCATGAAGATTTTGCAGGAAATAAAGGATTGATAGAACCAGGGTATATAACATTTAATTTATACGTATATATATATTGTGTCCTCGGCCCTGAAATCAATCCAAGTTACACCTGAAATAGATCTTGCATTAAATCGTAATTTCGTACAACTTTGGGGCAGGTTACATATATGTATATCTTTATTTGGAGATGGGAACCGAAACCCGAAACTATAAGTTTAGGTTATAGTTTAGGTTTATGCTTCTAATCTAAATTAAATTTTAGGGTTTAAGCACCCATTTTAATTTTTATTGTTCTATCTAATTTTTGTTAATTTATTCTATAGGGGTATACAATGGATGACTGCTGGTCGTGGAATAGGTATTTGCTTTTGAATTAGATCATCTTTCTTATTAAACGAACTAATAAGTTTTTTTTTTTTTTTGAATAAAAGTGCATGCTGAGATGCCGATAACCAAGTCAAAAGGTAACTAAAATTTTTTTAATTCATTTAAGGTCAATAAAATCAAACGAGATCTTGCTAAAACAATAAAAAATTTTTAGGAATTCAACTTTGGATTAATCTTTCAGCCAAAAACAAAATGATAGAACCCGCCTTTCAGAATCTTAGTGATGAAAAAATTCCAAGAGCAAATCCTGAAGAAGGAATTGAAGTTAAAGTTATTGCAGGTTCAAGTTTTGGTGTTAAAAGTGATGTATTTACTAGAACCCCAACCATGATGTTAGATTTTAAGTTATCCAAAGGAAAAAAGATTGAACAAGAGATTCCAAAAGATTATCAAGGTTTTATTTACGTTTGGAAAGGAAATGCTTATTTTGGTGGAAATCGATTCAAAGGACAAGAAAGTTACGCATTATTCTTGGATGGTAATAATGGTGATTTTTTACCTGTTGATGCGGCAGACGATGATGTTAGATTTATGCTTTTTGCCGGTCAACCTTTGAAGGTATTTTTAGGTTTTCTATTAAATTAATTCTCATTCATAAATCAAGAAAAAAAAATGAATCTTTTATAAATTCATATTAGGAACCAATAGTGAGCTATGGACCTTTCGTTATGAATACTGAAGAAGAAATATTTCAAACTATGTCAGATTATAATAGATATAGTAATGGATTTGAAAAGGCTAGAAAATGGCGCTCTTCAATTGGTGATGGTGTTGCCGGAATCGATTTCGAAAAAGAATTCCAAAATTAAAAAATTACACAGTGTGTTTTATGTTTATGAATATGCTCTTCATTATTTAATTAAAAATTATTAATAAAACCTTTATAAACTTATATATATTGCATATTCTTATGCTAGTTTTATTTATTACAAGTATTAAACATTACATATGTACTGTACATATAGGTAATTTTTGGAATTAAAATAAAATATTTTTTACTTGACTTGCTGATCCGTTTTGGATGATTTTACCACCATATAATGACCTTAAATATATATTAATGCTACGGTAAAAACCTCGGATTAAAACTATATGGTAAAATTCTTGGGTTCAGGACTCTAAGACTTGGTCTTGGGACTTAGTTCACAAAGACTGAGTTCTAATTTTAGAACTTTTATAGGTTCATAGTGTAAGCCCTCTCACATGATTGATTTGTCCGTGGCTCTGATTGGCTGAATAATAAATTTATAATCTCTAAAGGTAATATAGTACCTTAACATTATCATTAATATATAGGTAGATTCGATTACAAGCGAAATGGGTCTGAAGCAAAATTTTAAATAGTCGGAAATTTAATAAATTAACCAAGTTACCATTGATAAAATAAACAACGGTTTCTCAACAAATTTCTAACCGATATAAAAAATAGTCGTGTATTTTTAATGCTCGAAACTTATGGGGTCTTGCCTCATAGACAGACATTCGTCTGATTGGCTGATGTAAATCAATTGCCCGGGTAACTTATTTATACTGTTTAAAGTACTTTTCGAGAAGTGCAACGTTTCACTAATAAAATTCGCATTAAAGACTTTAAACCTACGCTAATATTCACTGTACAAAATAATCTCAAATAATCTCTAAAGCTGAGAGACTTCACTTAGAAGCGAACATACTATAGTATATTACTAGTAGAATCATTAAAACCCAGATTTACATAACTATTCGAAGACAGGTAACATTTAAAAGTACTTTATATTCAACTTGTGTAAAAAAATAATAAACGTTTAGACTTCTCTTATTTAGACGATAAGTACTTCACGATCTACTCCTACTGGATCATGTGTAGTTACGGTATGCGAAAGAAAATCAGACCGATGGAAGCAAGTAACTGAGAATGTTATTGCTAAGGCTAGAACCAACAATACTTTGCCAAGTTATATACAAATAGGTGATACTATCTGTCAAACTTGCTATAATGGAATTGTGGTAAACAGTTCAATTAAATTTCAGCAACATGCTCAAAATAGCCTAACACAATTTAATCTTGAGGATATTGAGAAAACCGAAATGACTATTGAAAATGAAAGTACTAACGAAACTGAAAGTACTAATGCTACTTTGTCTTTTTCTAAAGCAATAGAAATACTAACAGATATTTTGTATAATCGTGAGAAAAAAGAAGGAAAACCGACAATTTATTTGTTTGATGAATTTCGGTTAACCATGGAGAGTGAAGATTCGCGTTTAAAGGTTTTTTTTAAGAAGTTGTATTTGTTATCTAACCCATCAAAAAAAAATAAGGATTCAAAGGCTCGGGCAAAAAAACAGCTCCTTTTTGTCTGCTACTTTCTCTGTGGAATTCGTAATAAATTTGTAAACGATGTAAAGAAAGAAGTAGCTATGTATTTAGATTCTACTGATGCCACTAATGCTGCCATAGATACTCTTGCCGATTTGGGTATAACCACGTCTCGTACAATTGCTCAGTATAAGATAACTATAGCCGAAGAGCATGAGACGACTGTCAATTCTGTACTTGCTGAATGTATGGAGAAAGCATTGGTATTAAATATTGACGACTATCATAGTATTCACACTCCATGGTAATTTTTTTTATTTTTTTTCTTTTTATTTTTTATTTTTTATTATTTTCATTTTTATTTATTATTTTTATTTATATTTAATATTATCTATATTTAATATATCATTCAATTAATTCTTTTCAACTGATTTTAGAGTGCCAGATACAACCACTACATCAACTGCCGCACATCTGGCAACAATTTTGATGAATCCAATTATGACACAGCAGGTGATTTCGAGAATAAACATACATAATCCAGCGTTGGTTAATGCCGGGTTAATAAAAATTAATATCGAAAATAAGTTCATGAATCTCTATGGACTTTTGCATAATTAACGTTGAGGTTTCACGCCGTCGATGATAATACGAGAATGGAAGAGTTAACCGTCCACAGTTATGATATTAGATTAAGGGAGAAACGAAATTCTCGTTCAATGAAAGACGTAATTGTAGATTTGCAGGAAAATGGCCTCCATTCTCTAGAGGATTATATTAAAGCCATTAACACCATTGCGAATGTTCCAACTATACAACAATATATTTAGGAAGAACACGTTATCTCTATTATAGCTGATTGGCCTGGGCAAATTCATATTAGAACTGTGATTTCATATTACTTAGTTCATCATAATTTACCAAATAATAATAATACTATATTGTCTTTTCTTCCCATATTAGGTCCTCTTCATGTTTCGTTGAATAGTCAGGAGTTAGTATTTCTTCAGTATCGGCCTTTCCTTTCAGCAATGTATGCATATATCTTCGGAGAACAGGCAGTTCTAGCACAAAACCCCAAACCATGGCGTATTAATCTTCTTTTAGAAATTTCTTGCAGTGCCTGGCAGGAAATTTCCATGACTGTAAAAACAAAATTTGGGTTTTTGTGCAAAGATGTTGAATATCTTGCACTTAAAGACCTTCTTGATAATACGATTCCACTCGTATTAGACGTTTATACTGTTTTTTTTCGGTCTGGTGATTTTAATGCTTATTTGGAATCTTGTTTTCATGTTTGGACTGTATTTTTTAGATTTCGCCGCAAGAATTATATGAAAGCACCGTTGATATTTCTCTCAGATATCTTCTACTGGGAGCTAAACAACCATTCAATTCTAGAAACTATTAAGACCGAACTCCCAAAATTTTCAGATTGCCCAGTAGAAATATTCTACAGCTTTCTTCGTAGGAGTACACAGAAACACTTGGAAGTGCAACAAATCATTAAATACAGATATTATATTAATCAATTGCATCTAGATGACAATGGCTTTAGAGAAAATTTTGCGCACACTTCTACATGAGCGGCATACGAATATTCTGCTCGGGATATAACAGTTTTGACAAAAAAATGCACTTGTTTTCTTTTGAACTGTTTCTCTGAAATTTATAATCGTTTTTTTCACAATCAATTGCTAATATCACTTTTGTTACAAACAAATCATGATGCTATCATTCTATTAGTCGCGATGAAAATGCTAGAAGCATGAATGTGTCATCTTTCTTTAGGCTTCAGCACTTTACATAAACTGGATCCTTTTCGCTATTGCGATGCATCATACTGTTTTATATTATCTACTAACATGGTTCTCGTCGAAGTTCTAGCTTGTGGTCACACCTATCATAAGCTCTGTTATGAAAATAATGGATTTAAATGTTTACATTGTCTTTTATTCTTGCAAAATGGCATTGATGAGCAAGTTCAATCATTGTTAAATTCTTTAACAAACTTAGATAAAAAAAGAAAAAAAAATGGGCTGCGAAAAAAAATACTCTTTGCGATGATGATGATGAGTATAAGAGACCAACAAAATATACAGCATATACATTAGAAAATGCATTATTAGAATTTCAACAGCAATAAGTTAAAAATTCAATTTTTTTATTTATAATAAAATTTTTTTAATTATGTAGAGATCTAATATTTTAAGTCAAGACGACTTGTTTTATTTTTATTTATATGTATATTTATGTAAAATCTCTATATACAATATTTAATATTACGGATTATCGTGAAATCAGATTATCGTGAAATTTGGGGGTCTCAATTTGAAAATATAAGCCCTACCAAAATCCACCTATACTCTTTTATTAATAATTCTAACCCTAAATCCTAACTTAACTATAAAAAAAAAGCCTACAAAAAAGGCTCTAAAAATTTTTAAAAATCGTACATAAAATAAATCCAAATTTCACGATAATCCGATTTCACGATAATCTGTGACATTTAATAAAGTTAAATAAAGTAAAAAAACTCTAATTTGAAATGTAAAATCGATTTGTTTTATTCCTCATTACTGATAGTTTATACAATATAAATTATACAGTATTATCGAATCAATGGTAATTTTGCAATTTTATTAGTTGATCATCACGGGTAATCACGGGTAGATCTCTAAAAATTGACCAATCATATGAATGTCTTCCTATGAAGATCTTGCCTTGAAAATTACCTTACGACATTTTCTGATCAGGCTAATTCAAAACAGACCAAAATATCAGGTTGTATTTATATGTGAATCACATTTTGACTGTTGATTTAATAGTTTATTCAATAAACTATATATTGAATCAATAAAGGTCAAATGCTATTCACATATAAATACAAACCGATATTTTGATCTGTTTTGTCCTCGAGGTAATAACGTCCCAAATAAGGAAAGAATGATCTCGATCATGCATATTAGTTTATCCAATTAAAATCGTAAATTTTTATCATGTGAAAAATATCACATGTTGATTAACCAATCAAATTATAAATTTTTATAAAATAAAAAGAACGAAATTTAATTAAAATTTATAGCTAAAGCTCAAAATAAATGCTGTTAAAGTTACTATTAAGTAAACAGCATGTATTTATTAATTTAAATCAAGATTATTAATTTTTCTATAGTATTTAGTTTACAAATCTTCAATAATAATAAATAATAATCTACATATATATATTTAATTCTACATCCAACTCTATATCTAATTCTAAGCCTAATTCTACGCCTAATTCTACATCTAATTCTATGTCTACTCAAATTTCTAATCTTTTACACTATACTGGTTTACACAATTATCATTCTTATAAGAGATTTTTGTAATTTTAATACACTTCATATATATAAACTTCTTATCGTATCTTAAAAACACCTATAGTGATAATATTGATAAATTATATAGTTATTAATATTATTCGCATATTTTCGATTTCTTAAAAGATTTCTACACAGCATATATAATAAAAACATATACAAACTAATTCCTTTTACCTATGCTATTGTTGTTAACCATTATTTTAAGTTTATTCATTTTTTTTTGCTCAACAAATGAGATTTTGTCAACGCAGAAGTTGTTAATTACTTATAACTTCAGCAGGTAAATTATAATATGAAGGTCAAGGAATTCAAAGGGATTCATCTAATATTATTATAGTACGGCATGAAAGCTTCAAGGTTATTTAGTGAACTTAAATCATTTTAGAAGAAATATTATCTACCCAAGCTTCTTAAAAAAGTATTGTAACACATATAAAAAAATTTCTTTAACAATTGTGTAACAATTAAATCATTATTTCCATATTTGGGATGTTCTTACCTTGAGTTTTGTCTGAATTAACCCGATCGAAAAATGGCGTAAGGATTTTCATGAACCCGAATTGGGTTAACTCGGGTAGGTCAGGTATCCGGGTTGTGATTGTGTCTACCAGTGTATAAAAGTCAAGTGTTGGTTTATATGCAATTATCTTAAGCGCATGTTCAATTTTATATACTAGTATCTACCCATGAGCCAACCTGTTGTTATAGCTGTTTTTATAAGTTCTGGAACACCTAATAAAAATGAGTAATACGAATAATAGTGGTGTATGGTTTAATAAAATAGTGGTGTATGATATGTTAAATTAGCATATAGTTGGTAAGGTCACAACTGTATATAAAGTAATATATTGTATTTAGTATACAAACGTATAGTGCTTGGACTATCTAACTAAATCTGTTGAATTAATTTAAGTAGTAGATCTCAGTTGATGAGTATACATTTTATAGTAAAAATTAGTGGAGAATCATTATTACTTTTATATAATATTGAAATACCAAAAGTTTCTGCTTAATATATAAAGTCATATAGTTATAAAAGAGAAAATGCTAATAACTTGTTATTTACTAAACCAATTTGAACAATTTTATTATATTTGAGCTGAGATAACTTGCTTTATAATCTTCATTAAAAACTTAAAGAAGATTTACTTTGTATAAAAAAAACTTTTATCATAAATTAGCTGCATTCTAATCCTATTATTTTTATACTCTTTAACCATGATTTACCTCTTAAATATTAGAAAATATAAAATATTTTATTGCGAATATATGATATTTTTTAAAAAATTTATATATGTATATGATATTCTATATTATGAATATTTAAAAAATAAATATTCACATATGTATAAAATAATCTATATATTGAATATTTAAAAAATAAAAAATTTATTTATGTATAAAATAATCTATATTATAAATACTTGAAAATAAATTTATATTTCAAAAAAACATTCTACTAGCACAATTTGCATTTCTTTTAAGAAATAATATATGTTCAAATAAATTAGAATTCAGTCACTCTTTCTGATGATCACTTGTATCAAACTTAGATTAACGAAAACAGAAACTTGTTAAAGAAAAGTAGAAAAGACAATTACAAATAACGGTTTTACAGAGGTCAAGGTTTTTGTTTTTATTTTTTCAGACTTTTCTATATATTCAGTATGCAAGTTAAAAGCATTTTTGTACAAGATAACTGGTGAGAAGATGGTGCCCTTATACAGAATATTTTAATAAAAGCTCTGCTTCTGCTGATGAAATTAAAGATAGTTGATTTAAGGAGAACAATAAACAAGTTTTAATACATTCTTTACCGAAGTTTAAAATAACTGCAAACTAAAACTCTCTACCAAAGCTTTAGAATATAGACATTTATCATATGATTTCTACCTCTTAAGAGAGTATCTTACTTCCCCTTATCTGATATTAACAAGTTAATCAAATTTAAGTAAATATTATATAGTCTAATACTAATATATATATAATTATTAATAGTTACTCTATAGTAAAGTCAAGATTTTATTAAGTAAATTGATATATCTTATTAAGTGAAAATTACTCAGAAGAACAAAATATATATAATTTAAAAGTTTTATCCAAATTGAATAATTTTTATTAATTCATTTTTGTATATTATGTCTGATAAAAAATTTAAAAATTTCTTAAAATTTCTATTTATTGAATGTAAAAAGCAAAAGTTAATTAATAAAAAGTTATCTGATTTATATAAAATTTTTAAATATATGCATTTTGATCTTCTAAACAAACTTTATTTAATAAACATAATTGATTTATATAGTATAAGATAGCAAAAAATATCTAATTTTTTAGCAATTGTTAAATGTCTAATAACTTTATAACAAATAATTATTTTAAAAATTCCTCTTATAGATTTATTATTTATAATCTAAACTACAAATCTGTAAGCAGATTTTTAATATCTTGCTTTTTACAAAAGTTATAAGAGATCAAAGTCTAGTAATTTATTAGTAAAGTAGAAATTTGGTGCAAAGAAATCAACCAATCATATTTAGTATATTATGTGCTAAGTAATATTATTGGTTAATACTCATTATTAAAAATTAAAAATTTGGTGTTTATTATATAAAAAAAATAGTTTATATATTTTTTTATTCAATTAAAATTTTTTATATAAAATTAGCCAATCAAAATTGATTAAATAATTGTAAATTTGGCACTTTATATAAAAAAAATTGTATGTTTTTTGCTGTCCCGTACTGTATAATAAATTTTTTTACAATTAAGCAAAATCTACTTTTATTCTAATATAATTTTTATATTTTTAATAGGCAATTCACAAGTCATCTAAATAAATATTTTTTTTTATATATATAAATTTTTCTATAAGTCTGAATATATAGTGCTTCTATCTAAAACTTTTTTTTATTAAGTAAATCACTCTTGGGTTTGTAATAAAAATTGTAAAACTTATCAAGATATATCTAATAGTGAAAGAACATTAAAATTGGCCTGGTAGTTCTTAAAAAATCTTTAAAAAACTTCTTTTTTATATATAAAATTTCTTTAAAAAAAATCAATTTTTTTTAAAAACAGTTTTACAACTCTCCCTGATAATCACTTTTACTAAACTTACAGCTAACGAAAACTGAAACTTGTTAGAAAAAAGTAGAAAAGATAACTACAAATAACAGTTTTTACAGAAGTCAAGGCTTCAGCTTGATTTTCTTCAGACTCCTCTGTATATTCAGCATGCAAGTTAAAAGCGTTCTTATACAGATAACTGGCAAGAAGGTGGCACCCTTGTGCAAAAATTTTAATAGAAGCTCTGCTTCTGCTGATGAAATTAAAGATAGTTAGTCTAAGGAGAACAACAAGCAAGTTTTCAACATGTTCTTTACTGAAGTTTAAGGCTATTTGCAAACTGAAATCCTCTTCCATATCTCTACTTTTGGTCTTTATGAAATTTCTTTAAAAAGTGAGAAAAACTGTATATTTCCATCAAAAAATCGATAACAACATTTGTTGCTAAAAAAAGAAAGACACATACATATATACATGTCTACTTTTGATTATAGTGTAAGATAATATGATAATATTTGAAACATTGCAGAAGACATGTTGACGGGATAGGATAGCATCTAAAAGTTTTGACCCTTGGAGCTCTATTTCAAGACCAGATAGTTTTTGATATTTTTATATCTTAGATATAGACATAAATAACTAGCATAGAGTTTAGTCTAGATTATTTGTAGTACTATATAATTTTTACAATCTCATACAGGTTTAATAGTGCTATCTTTGTTTTCTTTTCTGTTATTTTTCTTTTTTTCGTTATTTGTTTTATTTGGTTTTATTAGTTTAAATAGACCAGAACTTAATACTGTAGTATTTCACCATTTTTGTTATGTCCTTTGTATTTGTGTTTGTATTTTGTTTTGTAAAAAGAAAAGTTAATTTGGATATAGTATGTAGCACCAACCCATGACTAAAGAATAACCTTTAGTAAGTTAGAAGCCTGGAGAAAGGCTTAAAGTCCACTAAGACAAGTTATACCTGGCGAAAGTGGGGTATATTACTTTACAGATGGATTAAGTATAGCTATTATTAGAGAATGTAAATTTTTAATATAGTTTAATCTCAATAAAAAGTGGCAAGACAGCCAAATTAAAAAAAAATTTTTTTTTAAAAAATTTTATATGTAAAAAAAAAGTTTTTTAAAGATTTCTCAAGAACCACTAGGCTAATTTTAATGTTTTTCTACTATTAGATACATTTTAATGAGCTCTACAACTTTTATTACAAACCCAAAAATGATTTACTTAGTAAAAAAAAGTTTTAAATAAAAGTACTGCATATTCAGACTTATAGTAAAATTTATATATAAAAAAAATATTTGTTTAAGTGACTTGTGATTTGTCTATTAATTATTATTATTAAAAATTTTATCTAGACAATTTTAATTGGCTAATAATACTATATTATATAGCACCTGATAACCTCTCTAAGCCCTTTCATCTAAAAAATTAGGTAATAAATGTCTATACTCTTACTCTTTGTTTTTTTACAAAATTTTAACAAAAAGCAAAAAAGTTAGTATATGCTCATCAAAAAATCAACAACAATTACTGCTAAAAAGAGAAAGTCACATACAGGAGTACGTGTTTACTTTGAGATTAATAATAAATAATCAGTTACCTCAAGAGGTTACAGTCTATAGAAGCTAAAAAGTATATTATTCCTTAAACTATCAGGTTTAGTGGCCAAATTTGAATGCTAAAATTTAAAAATAGTTAAATCTAATCTAATTTTATTAAATATTAAATTTTTTAAAAAAAATTTTATATACTAATATTTGAAAATAAGGATTACAAAATGGCAATATTTATTTTTAAATTATAAGAAAAAAAAATATAGTTGCTTATATACTAAAAATATTAAAACTCTCAAAGATATTCTACATCTTTTAACTTGCTCTAAACAATATCATAATATTCAACAAACTCTTTATACTCTAATTACAAATACCTTTCAACAACTTAATATATCCTCTATCTCCTCAAATGAAATTTGTTCTATTATATTACCACACTCTAATACTTCATCTCATCTCACTTTTCTAAACCTACTTCAAGGTTTTATCTTTATATCTCTTTACAATAGCATTAAAATATTATTTTATAAATCAACATTATTCTTCTTTATAACTCTTTCTAATATTTCTCTAAACTGGTTTCATCAATATACATGGTTTCCTTATAATACAATTCAATATCAATGAGAAAAAGCATAAAACATCACTAACAAATCTAAACATTCTAAAATCCACTCTTTGGCTTTTCTATCCTTATCTAATTCTTCATTATCAAATACTCCTACTATTAACTCAACTAATTTTATTAAAAACTGGCTACTCTTAGGCTATTCACTTACAAATA